GCCGGGTGCCCGCACCGAATCAAAAATACGAGGCGGTTTAGTCAACTAGGCTATAATGGGTCCACGTGGACGAGAGCAAAAATAGCATACAAAAGACTCGGGCAATGGGCGGGACTTATCACAAGAGACCTTGACTGCTTTTGGGATGATATGAAGCGCATTGCTGTTTTGCTGTAGGAGCCATGGTTCGCACTGTTTTAATGCGTCTCGAGGTTCATGCCAGCACGCATTCCGATCGCGGCTGTTGAGCTAAGGCAATATTTGCGTATCCATGAATTAAATCAATCAATCGAGCTCTGATTTTAACTTCTTTATCCGTAACGAGTCCTCCAGAACAATTTTCCACCTTGTACGATGGTTATTATTTCTTTACTTCTATTTTTCAAATTTGAGGTGGGATATTGGCGGCTTCTCAAGAACACCGAGGTAGGCGATCTTTTGCACCAACGAACAGAAAACTGATGGCAAAAAATAACCAATCAGAACCTCCCAAAAAAAAGAATTTGCCTAAAAACGGAACTTCGTGGTTCTGCGCAGATTTACCAGTCAGACACGACATCTCAAGATGGAAAAAAACTCGCTGAAAGCGAATTTTAGCAATCAACACAACTTGACGTAGAGACATGATTGGCTAAAAAATACAACGGTTTTTGATACATCGGAAAATCAACCAAAAATCGGAGACTGGGCGAAACGCTCAAGGTCGCAGAGGTATAGGGAATCCCATAGCGAAAGCAACGGAACGATTCTAATATCATGGGGAACTCCGTTCCCATGACAAAAAATACTCAATCGGCTGGCTAAAGTCCAGTATTTTTCTTGAGAATAGTCTCCTCCTTCAATGAGTGACGCAACAATTGCGACATTTTTGTATGAAAAGCCCTTGCAGAAGCCTTTTTATTTGACTCAGCCAAATTTTGAAGAATCACGTGTTGTGTCCGCAAAAATGCGTAAAAAAGAAGGGTCACTGAAATTAATGCTTCATAGAGATATCTGAGGATCCATGTCAAAACCCTCTTACCTATTCTACTCTGCGTAAAAAATAAAAACGCTATTTTCAACCATGTTTTTTGTTTTTTTAAATCTTCATTATTTTCTCTTAAAACAATATTCAATACCTAGGTAATCTGGAGCCTTTTTCATGACGATCAGTTCATTATGCAGTGGTATATGATACAATGTTATAATAGCTTCCATTTACATGCATATGAAACTGCAGCATCATAAGTTGAGACTAAAAATATTATACAATAAATAAGTCTTGGGGAGGAAGCAAAGGAAGAATGATACGCTCGAAAAATACGCTGCAAGCAATCTTCCAGCATGCAGAGGGGACAAATACTAATGATTACAGTAAGAGCATTTTTGCGGACACGTCAGTGATTCTTCAACATTTAGCTGAGTAAAATAAAAAGGCTTCTGCAAGGGCTTTTCATACGAAAATGTCGCAATTGTTGCGTCACTCATTGAAGGAGGAGACTATTCTCAAGAAAAATACTGGACTTTAGCCAGCCGATTGAGTATTTTTTTTTTTTTTCATGCTCTTTTAAAAGCATTTGTAGGACCTGAATCGAAAAATATTGGACTTTGTGCGATAAATTATTTCATATCGTTTTGGAGCACATAGAAGGCTCAGATCAATCCATACCGACTATTTTTTTTTTTTTACTTATTCAGATAAAAATGCAAATAGGTGAGGGAGGAGGCTCTTGCAAGGGCTAAACATATTTACACGTCATGACTGTTGCATCACTCCTAAATGAAGGGGCCTACATTCGATCTACAGGGAAGTGTAATTTTTCATTTCCTTTTAGAAGTATAATGCCTACTTGAAGATACATGCAGCTTAGCAAGGGAATTTACTGAGTCTCTGAGAAAACTTTTCTGCGAATGCACGAGTCATGATTATTGAATTAGTTACGTAGCTCTAAATTTTAAAGAAAGAATAGTCGACTTTGTGCGATAAAATATTTCTTATTGTTTTAGAGCACATATGAGGCTCAGATCAGTCCATACTTTTCTTTTTGATTTTATGAAGATTCTGAATAAGAAATGCAAAAGTTAAATAAAGAAAGAGGACGTTAGGTGCTCCTTCAAGGACTTTCCATTCACGAATGTAGCGTTTATTGCAAAGAGCGAACCGTTTGGGCTCCACAAGAGGTTCACATACACACATGCAGTGAATGTTGTATCACTCGTTTATGAAGGGGCCCACATTCGATTTTCAGTAAAGTATAATTTTTAATTTTCTTTTGGGGGTTTTAAGAAAATTTGGTTCAACAAGTTTAAGACTTTGGCCGGATTCTTTACCCCTTAGAATCTGAAAGTTTTTTGGGGTTTTTCAAAAACGTGTATCAGGAGGGATATTATGTTATAAGAGTGTCAAAAATGTTTTTGGAACGTTTCAGAGAGATGATATAAGTTTGAGACTTTTGAGATGTTTCTGAAATGTTAGTGAAAAAGATTGTGCTACTATAGGGTACATTCTGCAATGAACCATGCCGTCCATACACTTTAATGCTTTTTCAGGCTCATTTATATATGTAGTTACACCGTCTTGTCAGCCGGGCGACAAATTAACGCAGAACTTTAGCACAACGCCTTCAGTTTTCGAGGTAGGCCAGGGCGCATCCTCTGGGCGGCAATCATTACCTATCTAATCGAGGATCAGTATCTTCTTTCTTTTTTCCAAATTTTTCCTCAATATATGAGTAATTTAATTCAATTGAACTCTATCTGAAAATTTCATGCTAGTTCTCTCTTTCTTTTTAAGCCTATATTATCTATGATGTAATGTTGTATAAAATTAAAAGAACAATTGACTTCCTCATTGCAAATAAGCCAATTTTATGGGCTTTTCTGGTCTTTGTGGAGCTATAAAATAGATTATTCAGATTATTTTTTTTTTCTTTTTTTGAAAGGAGGGACCCCTAACTCGTCACTTATTTGAAAAAAAACATTCTTATATACCGTCCATTATTTCAAATTCTGGTTACTCCTCTGCATGTATCGTTATAGCTGCTAGATTTTTTTTTACATTCAAACGCGGTGTTGAAATATTTTAATTTCTCAGTAAAATACACATTTTTTACAGTTGGGCCTCAAACTCAAATACATAATTTAGAGTTATTTTTTTTTTGCTCTTATGTTGCAAGGCTTATCAACGCGGTCGAGTGAGGACGTGGGCTCCGTGAGCCGTGCTACATCGACGCGCTGTCAAGTCTCTTTCATGCCGTGTTTCTGAGTTTTTTCCTCCTGTGAAATGGATCCCAATTCTCCGGGAATAAACTTTGTGAAGTGTGCTCATGAGCAAATTGCTCATCTTTGCAATCTTTGTGACATAAAAAGATCTAACTTTTTCACCAAAAAATTCTGGTGCTCGCACAGAATTTTATTTCAGCAGTGCGGTACTTGCACTAACCTTCCAGTGTTCCCTCCCCCTTCAAGTGCTTTTCCACCCTTAGGAGATAGCAAAAAGGGTAAACAAACTATCAATGTTCGCGCTGCAGGACCTCTTCCCTCTCAGAAAAGTGTGAAAAAAGTGGCCTCCCAAAAAAGTGTCACACTATTACAGTGTGAGCACAAACAGTCGGCTCATCTCTGCAAAAAATGCAGTGTTAAGGCAGCTATTGACTGCAAGTGTATACACAAAAAATACCCCTTCAAGTGCTCTATGTGCAAAGGCTTGCCCTATAGCCCTGATGACCTCGATGCACCCGAAGCTTTCACTGATTCTGACTCTGACGAAGGGTCAACTGATCCAGAAGTAGAATCCATGGATTTACAACCCATCATTTCAGATACCCAGTCTTCGGAGTTTCAAGGTGTTAAAACAGATAACGACAGCTTCCAGGTTGTCACCCGCCACAAGAGAAGGAAATCTATCCCTGCAAATAGGCCACCAGTACCTGCGCTTAATTTAAGCTCTAAATTTAATATTCTTCAATCAGATAAGTCAGTAGAACCATTGTTAACCCCCCCTCCCATTTTCATTTCTCAAATTCCAAACCCCTTCACCTTTAAAGCAGAAGTAGTAGATAAAATATCTAAAAATTCAAAACTCAAAATCATTAATAGAACCCAGTTTAAAATAATTTTAGAAAAAATCGATGAATATCGCTCTCTCACTAAGGTCCTCAAGGACAAAAAAATAGCATACTTCACCTACCAAATTAAAGAAGAAAAAGTTACTAGAGTTGTATGCAGGGGTATCCCTACGGATTTTCCTCAAGCTGAGGAAACGATACGTTCCTGTCTTGAGGAGAAATACAAGATACCCGTCAAAAACGTGACTCGCATGCTCAAATTTACAGATAAATCTCCTCTTCCATTGCATTATGTAGACTTACTTCCTTTTCCAGGCTCTAACGAAATGATTTGGCAGGTTAAGGAAATCTCCAATTTAATTGTAAAGTTCGAAAAACCTCATCAAAGAAAATCTGTCATACAGTGTAAAAACTGCCTCTCATTAGGACATTCTAAATCTTACTGTTTTCGTCAACCCAGGTGTGCTATCTGTTCTGAATTTCATCAAACAGGGGAATGTAAAACCCCTGATGTACCTACGTGTATCTTCCCCGTTTGCGCCCTTTGCAAAGATAACCACTTGGCAACCTATCAAGGGTGCAAAGTCAAAAAGGAAGTGAGTAAAAAGAGATTTCCAGTCAAGAGCGAGCCTAATCAAGGAAATCTTAATTCTAACATTAGATCATCAGATAAGAGCTACAGTTCTGCCCTGAAAGGACCGAGCTCTTCCGAAAACAAAACTCCTCAGCCAGCTGTATCACTCACGACAACTGATAACAGCGTTGATTATGTCACAGTAATCAACGAGCTTAAACACCTAGTAACTAAACAAGCAGAGCAGATTGACAAACTGATGTCTGTTATCCTCAAGCTCTTACCTCAACAAGAGGTACAGATCCCACAATCAGTCCAACCTTCCCTACAATCTGATTCACTATCTGTGAACTGATTTATAATAGAATTAATTCTTTCTTCACAGGCACAGGCGTGAATACGCCCAGCCTCGCCTCTCCATACTTAAAATGGAGAGCTGGGCGCTCACGTACTGAAGTCTTCACCCTTTCCCTTGTTATCTAGTTGTAAATTCTTAATATTTACTTATTTTTATATTTATTTTTATTTTCTTAATATTCTTGTTATTTTGCTCTTTCAGCAGTCTGGGTTTTGTTTTATCCCACCTCCTTCATCTAAACCAGGTTTTTTCCCATTGGATTTTTTCCCTAGTTATTTTCATGTGCAATTTATTAAATTGTACAGCCTAAAATTCCTCCCTATCTAAAACTTTCTGTAGAAAATCTTAATCTACAAATTCAAATGGATACCTTTTAAACAGAGGTAGTTGTTGTAATAATTCTTAAGTGTATTCTGAAAAGTCATGTTCTTTCTTTGTACTGATTTCTTTCTTGACAATAAATTAGATATATATATGTTGCAAAAGTTATTGCTCACCTCGTAACGTTGTCTTGTGTTTTGCACCCAGAAATGTACCGCTCGCAAGATCCACGGTGGGAATATTTCTCCTAATTTGTATGTGTAAGTAGTCCATGGCAACATTCCTCAAATCAGTCATCGACGGAAATGCATATTTAGCTAGCAACTGTCGGTATCGATCATCCAATCCTTTAAAAATGTATCAAGAATTTATGTTATTTAAATCTTAATTCTTTGACTGAATCGTTGGGTGCAAAAAGGGCATTTCTTGGCTACGGTGTCTCAAAATCTCAGCTAACGTGTCATCCATTATAATAAAAGCAAACATATGTAATTTTTTGTAAGATTGAAGAATTTTTTGATGATGCAAGACTGAAGGATAACGCACTACACTGGAAAAAAACTTTGAGTTTGAGGGTCTTAACGCACAGTATACGCATGTGAAATTAGAGCCAGTTCTAGATTCAATCTAATTGGAGTCTAGATATTGTTAAAACCCAGAATTCCGGCAATTTACGCCGGCTATACACTACAGTGTATATAATACACTTTCTAGTGTCTCAAAAAAATAAAATGAGAGGCTCAGTTTAAATGCTTTAGGCACTTTATAATAAGCAATTTTCAGCCTCAAACATGGAACTTTAGTTTTTGATCGAAATTGCGTTTTGGTGTCGGTTGCGGTGAGTAGGTCCTCAGGCGGAAAGACTGTGAGTGCGTAGTCCTAGCACCGTTTGATTTTTTATTATTGTTATTAGTGTTTTACTTATAATGTTTTGTTGGGCCTTTTCCATATTTTTTGGCCAAAATTTATACAAAACTCTTACCTGAACAGTCGCTTTAATATTTCAATGCTGAGTTTTTCAACCCTAGGACCCCCCATTGGAGGTTCCAGAAATATAGATGAGGATTCAGATCATTTCCTCCTACTCACTTTCGATGGGATTGTCGCGAACACTTCTATGAATTAGCTTCCACTGATACATGAACCGTTTGGCCAATTTAAAGTTCTGGAGCGCATCTTTTGAGTAGTATTGCGGATCCAACTTCAAATGATTATACCCAGTGAGAGAGTCCCGCAAACTGAAAAGAAGCTTTAAACAGATTTTTGTCTTACTTGAAGAGTGTACTGCATGATAGATCAGGGAAAATCGAATGTATTTCATCAACGGTGCTGTTCTAGGGGCACTGTTTCTGTTCTGAGTAACATATTGCCTTGAAAACGATGGCTTTTGAGGGCAATCCGACATTGGATTTCGAAAATTTTTTTCTTTTTTAAACTTTCATTCGTGAAAACCTGAACAATACGTTCTTTAAATAATGAGATGCCCACTCACAGTATTTGACTAAAGAAAATGCAGCATTCAAATCATCAGACACTCTATCATGCATGGGAAATAACTTTCATGAAAAGTGACCAATTAGGAGTCAGGACAAATTAAGGACTAAATATAAATGCGATAATTAAGGGCCTTTTGAGGGTATGGGCATATGATCATGCACATGTATAACTTTGATATCGGAAATGAAAATGTAAACCTTGGTAAATAATTAGCGCTTACAAATATATATAATCTATCTTGGATTCCAAAATAATAATGACGTTCCTCAGGTAACTGAGTAAGATTTCATCAATGGCTCGGTAGTCCTGGAGAGTTGCAAGCTCCTCCGGTGAAATCTGAGCTTCCACACTCGGCCAAAAAAATCCGCATGTCACGAGGATATATCTGTAACACGAAACGTTACAATGATTTCCATTAGGTACGCACTTTACCACACTTCTGAAACATCTCTGGGGAGAGAGTGTCGTGCGCTGATACGAAACTCAATCCCATGTCTCCCGGCAAGTACCGGTAAATGATGGAACCAATCTGCCGTGCTAAGGAAGAAGGCCGTATGAGCCATCAGGCGTTGCCAAATTTTCTCCAATAAAATTCGAATTTTTAAGAAAACTGTTGGATATTTTTCCTCATAATTTTCAGCTAATTTTGCACAAACTTTAATCTAAAATATGTCAAAATTTCAAGGAAAACTATGCGCAACTCTCCTGTAAAATGCACTTTTTATCTAGGGAAATTTGGCAACTCTCGAATGTACATACGGCGTTCTTCCTTAGCACGGCAACAATCTGTTCGACAGGAAGGATATAACGTGCATTGAGTTTGCTCAAGTTCAACGCTCAAAGTTTTGGACTCGAATCTCGCAACCATCCAAGAGAGGGCGAATATATTCTCTTAAAAAGTATGGACCCTTTTAAAGATACCAATTAGTGCGAAAAAATCAATAGCAAGTCTGAAATATCCAAAATAATTTGAAAAAGACCCAAGTGAAAAATCTCGCTCGTGCAGCACCTAGGAATTCAGTGGCAAATTAGCGTCAGAGCTTGATGTTGAGGACTTGGTTGCCATTTGTTGCAAATTCTTACAGCTTACTTTTATACTACTTACTTTAAGGGAGACTTTGCACGCAAAAATTGTATTGCTTCGTTTGAGAACTCTTATAAAGCCGGTTTTTATAAGTATTTTTCATAGTTTTTTTTCTGACGTGGAACATACTATAAAAATAAATTTACAAGGGAGAAAATTTACCACCTATGACGTCATCTGGCTTTCATTACCCATTTAAAGACATGTATTTTAGCAGATTAGATCATCTTGTCCTGTCTCCTCCTCTAGCTTTTCAATTTATAAACCAAGGATATCGTCGTGTTCAGTTCACTAAGTTGTTTCCTCTTAAACACGAAATTCATCACATTTCAGACACCTGCAAATTCTCTATTGACGGGTGCATATTTTGTGTTGGGGAATTTATTTCAAATTACAATAATAATTTAGAGGAAATTAAAGACACTTAAAAACCGTCATTTAATAATAACGAAAATTGGAAAATGAAACTTTACAATGCTGCAAAAAATTCAGTCTTGCCACATTCTCAAAGCTTCATACATCGTTTCTGAAATATTTGGAACGAGTCGACTCTTTCTTGATAAGTGTCACAAAATTAAATTTGCCCAAAAGGGGAAGAGTAAGTGAAGGAATGCAGTTTCTATCAGTAATGAGCATACGTACAAAATAATCTTCTCCATCATCGAAAAAATTGATCGGTCTTCGTGTAAGCCAAAGTTTAGTACAGTCGCACTCGTCCGGAAAACTTACAGAACTAATGGGTCGTTAAGTAGGTAACTGAACTATTTGGAAGTGTATCGTGTTTGTCATCCAGACTCAGCACACAAACGCAAATGGAAAAATGCTCGTCCATTCTCCTGTACCCGAAAAACCCCCAACTCCAATTTTATCGCAGTCACGACAACTTGCGACGTTGCCATCTTGTGCGGCATGGAACTCATATAGTAGTAAGGACTCATGAAATCGAACCATAGAGAAACTGGATACATTTTGCGATTAGGAACTACAACCTCTGACTCATCCGTAAAAACACTCATATCTATAGGTGAAGCGAATGGTACATACGTCGTTTTTAAATTAAGTCAGAAATTGTGGTTCCTCTTTGCAAAATGCAGCTCAGTGAATATATTATACATGAAATGAGAAAGTATCGCAGAATCTTGAGTTTTCTGTATGCCAACTTGGGCCATGATGACTCCAAGACCCTAGTTGGAATAAATCAGGGGTAAATTCCGATGCCGCCGTCTCAGGACGGTTACGGATTGGGTTTCTCTCCGTCGCGTCATATAAGGGTGGTTTCACAATAACTGGAATAGTTTTGTCGCCGTAACAGACGACACATTTTTCGGTCATATTTTGCTAGAAATGATTATCACTCAAATTTTTTCGCAATATCTTCAAAGGGTTACGTATTATAACGCTTTCGAATGTTGCTCTTCTTCTCAATCAATATTATGTAAATTCCGAAAATGTGGTGTCTGTTACGCGGTAAAAATTCAGCGTAACAGTCAGCACATTTTCGGATATTTATATATTAAAATTGAGAAGTAGAGCGATAAATCTTTGAAAAGCGTTATAGCACGTAGCCCTGTGTAGCTTACCCTTTGTTGCACGGAAAAAAAAAATTTCATTTTTTTAAAAAAAATGTTATGGTTCAAATTTAATGATAAAGATAAGCACAAAAAACGCTTCAAAATTTTTTTTCATCCCTTCTGAAAAATTCTGTAGGGGTAGGAAAAGTGGTAGAACTGTCATACCACCGCACACTGACGTTCCAGGTTTGTCATTGTGCGGTGGTATAACTGTCATACCACTTTGCTGACCATATTGGATTTTAGTACATAGAGTACATTTGTATGTATGTATGATTTCAACTTTCTGATTTCAACTTTCTAATTTTAGTAATATCGATTATCACATATATCATTTTTGGGTCAGGTTTAGGGGGGGGGGGGGTTCCAGCGAGTGGAGAACGACAGTCAAGATGAAAATAAATATAAATAAAAAAAAATCAAAATTGAAATTTCAAACATAAGCAAAATTTTTTTTTTAATGAATATGAAAAAGGTCAAAATCCAAAAACTTTGTGACTACACAGAATTAGGGTGGAAGGAATGGGGGAAAAGAAGAATAAGAAAAAAGGGTGTATATTTGAAGTTCCAGGGGAAACTTATTTTTTGT